ATTGTTGTTGTTGTTGTTGTTGTTGTTGTTGTTGTTGTTGTTGTTGTTGTTGTTGTTGTTGTTGTTGTTGTTGTTGTTGTTGTTGTTGTTGTTGTTGTCGTCGTCGTCGTCGTCGTCGTCGTCGTCGTTGCTGCTGCTCGGTTACTGCTGTTGTAGTGTTGTTGCTGTTGTAGTGTTGTTGCTGTTGTTGTCGTCGTCACTGTTGTTGTTGTTGTTGTTGTTGTAGTGTTGTTGCTGTTGTAGTGTTGTTGCTGTTGTTGTCGTCGTCACTGTTGTTGTTGTTGTTGTTGTAGTGTTGTTGCTGTTGTAGTGTTGTTGCTGTTGTTGTCGTCGTCACTGTTGTTGTTGTTGTTGTCGTTGTCGTTGCCGTTAAGAAATTGATTTAAGAAATTCTGTAATACATTAGACAACGGATCAAACGTACAAGACATTGACGAGACGGATGATAACGAATCCTCGTGCCCCGAAGAGAAACCTTCAGAGGTAATTCTAGATATCATCTAAACGGCCATGTCACACAAGGCTTTCGTGCAGCTTGCAATGCATTTTTTTTTCAAATACGAAAATATTTCTGCAGGTTGCAGGCAATCGCCTCGTGTGACGCGGCCTTAAGATCAGACATGTGTTTTGAAAATATAATATACGTCGCTTCTGACCTCCTTTTGCAGGCTAAAGCGAATGGTTTATTAATTACTACTGGATTGAAAAGACGGAAGGAATCGACAACGGATGTAAGTGCAGACATATCCCAGTGGGATAAACTAGGGGATGATGATTTAAATACTAAAATAGTCCTGCAGATTTTTATTGTGATTTCAATATTTCTAGGAATCCGCTGGTGAAGAAGCTATCAAGAAAGTGAGGTCGTTAAAATCCGCAGAACAGGTCTAATAATGGCTTATTTAATATATGCAATACATGGTCAACCTTCAGTAAGTAAACGAATTCAGAACCGAATGAATGAATGAAATTCTGGACTGAGTTTTGGAATTACGCTGATATAAAAACCGTTCGATATATAAAATGTTCCGCTTTTACTTTTTTCCGGGTGGCCTGGTCACAAGGGTCCAAAACGAGACGAAGGTTTTCAAGACGGCGGGTAATTTTCAAGATCGTTAAAACGAGGAGAGAATCTAACTTATAACAATCCTAAAATCCAAACCAATCCTAACCCTAAACTGTCATATAAAGTTGGTCGCCAGGGGGGTGTACAGTAGTGATCGGTAGTCATCAGGGGGGTTGTTTCATGAATCATTAATTTAGTATAATCTATATATTCAGAACATATTCTTCACATGTTAATTTGTAGTGAATGGTATTTTTGCAGATTTAGTGATTATATTCATCACATATTCTGTAATTTATTGAAATGAATTATACATTATTATAATCATTTTACCTGCCTAATGTTTTGTTGCTTGGTTGCACCAACAAATATGAAGCATTTAACATACTTTAATTATTAATGTAAGAATATTTCGTCAAAATGGCGACAATGGAGAGAAATGCAAACGACCGTATCAACGACGTTGCGGTTGACTGTAGTTTTCCCAACGTGTGCGGTGAAAATGGCAAATGCATAGTTGAGCTAGCCGCCACGCGAGGCGGTCAGCTCAATGTTTTTCGTGTGCAATTAATGCGTTGCGTATTTGTTTCGTGTATAAACTCGCACGCACAAGTACTGACGACACACGCTGACCTCTCATTAAGGAATGTTTGGAATTTGCTTGGAATTAAAATTAGCCCTCTTGCTTTAAGCATGCTGTGTGGTTCCTGTTGTCAACACGAGTATCACGAGTCATGCGAGCTTTTCAACAATCGACGTCTGGGTCGTGTATTATTAACTTGATCACAGGGGAAATCGTCATTAACCTGGCTATCCATTCTCAAACGGAGAATCAAAAAGGTCTTTTGATTTCCCGCTGTATAATCAGTATTGTTCATCGTACAAAGACACCTACGCTTGGCTTGCCAAATATGCTGTAATTGCATGCGATTTTTTTGTGTTTGTCCGAACAAAGGTTCATTTCCCCCCGCCCCCCCCCCCCGGGCTAAATAGTCTGCGATTCATTTATTCTCTCATTATATTAACTATGATTTATTCAAACGTGCATACAGATTCTTTGAAGTCTACACTTCGCTGAAGTTCATATGATGGTGAATGCTACAACCACAAGCAAACCAGAAGAGGCAGAGCGTTTGCCTTACTGGTCACATGTACTGGCACTTCTTCTCTACATATTTCTTTTCCTATTGGCAGTATTTGGAAACGCTCTCGCTTTATGGATTCTTCGTACGAAACCCGAACTTCGCACGCTGACACACGCTTTCTTCACTAATCTTGTTATTGCCGATCTACTGTTGGCGTTATTAACCCCGTTCGAAGCAGTGGCTACCTTCTCAGCCGTTTATGTGTTTGGTGATTACGGCTGTAAAATCCAGCGAACGTCGCTATATTTTTTCTATGCTGCTTCCATATTGACTTTATCGGCGATAAGTCTCGAGAGATATGTAGCAATATGCTATCCTATGAAATACGATGATTTTAAAAAACGTAAAACTCGAATTATTGTGTTTATATGGTTAGCATCAGCATTCATTGTCATTCCACATATATATCTAAGCGAGGAGCGACCTTTGAACGGCGATACGGTATGTTTTCAATTCCATACCACCCATCAAACTCGCGTACCATTCTTCTGGGGTTACTCTGTCCCTTGTTTCGTGCTACTGTACCTTTTACCATTAATATTGGTCAGTTTCACTTATTGGAAAGCTGCTAGGAAATTAATGGAGCTGGAAAATCGGCTAGAAGTCACCTCGACAGTCGATATATCAATGACAGTTCGAATGAGACACGAAGTGCTGCGAATGTTGTTTGTTGTTATAGTATTCTTTGTACTTCAATGGACGCCGTTTGAAATTGTTGAGATATTAGACTCGGCACCCGGGGTAATCGACGATGTGAACCCCATAAGTTCACATCGAGTTGCAGTCAATATGCTTGCTTTCTCAAATGCTGTATGTAATCCGATCTTATTTGGTTTTATGTCAAAACCATTCCGTGAAGGTTTCAAAGAAGCTGGATTGAAGATAATGAAGTTTATATGCTGTGCAACTACCCCTCTGTGTTCGTGTTGGGATAACGTACCGTTTGAGAGATGTTGTAGTTTTGGTTTTCAAGACAGAAAAGAAAGTACTGCAGACCTTTCTTTGGCAGCTCCTAATACAAGCACAGTGGAAATTGACTGGGAGTCTAGTTTCGGTAGGCTAAGCAATCCTGTATCGATTGTCGAAAGTGAGTTAGCAGACAGCGAGTTGACAGAGCGATCAGAATCTGATATGCCTGACAGCGTCGAGCCTCGGGATCATACGTTTTGATGCATATAGATAAATTACTTTCATGCCAGACTTGTAGCTACAAGTCGCTTCGTATTATTTAGCTGCACGATTGAGCTCAAATTTCCAAGCCCGCTCATTCGTTTTACTCGTTAGAATGCGAGAGTCGACTTGCATGTGTGTTCAGGCATGAAAGTAAACTCTCTGCATGATTTGGCACAATCATGTTCCAAAGGGTATCGAATGTTGCAATTAATATGATAATCCGTTTTCATAGAATTTGTTTACACGTGTGTCGCGATGATAGGAAATTGTTAATATTTTATTTGGATAAGATTTTTGTTAATTTAGTGTTGGTACATTTACCTGTTTTCGGATTGCTACGGTTGTGTCAATATTGACGCAAGATATTTTGCATTGTGAAATTAGTACAGTATATGGTTGATCAGAGTAACTTAAGTGGGTAGTTTAAATCTGTATCAAACGAGAATGCAAGGCAGTCATGAATTGTTATAGGGGACATTTCAAGCTCTAGATTAACAAAATGGTTTCATTCATGAGTGTTCCAACAACGTTTCAACTTAAGTAAAATACATGATAGTGTTGAGAAAGAATTAAGAACAGCTAACCAAGGTCACGTGACTGCCAACTCTCATTCTCGTTTCATCCGGGCTTAAGCCGGTTTTCCATTAGGCGGAATTTTGCGCGCAGATTGGAATTTCTCTTTGTCTTGTGATTTCTCAGGTGGGACTAATTGGAAAAGACATACGCACCGCGCGCAAAATTCCGCCTAGTGGAAAACCGGCTTTGAGTATATCAGTTACTACGGTGGCTCATAAGGGCCATATCTCTCTCTCTCCTTTTTTTCCAGCCGCGCTCTGACTATTATCACGCCACTTATCAGCCATACTTCCAGTTTTGAACCGCGCACTTTCAGTTATACCGCCACTTATGGCAACGCGACGCGAATTTCGAGTTTTCAAAAACAAATCAATCAACGGATAAAAATTTTACAAGATATGCAGACCAAATAGCTAAAATTGCTTAAGTGGTTCCGAATATTTGAAAATCATTGAAAAATATTAAAGTTAAGTGTCATTGAAAACTGAAAATTCCCAAACTGAGATCATAGGTCTGTTTTCAGGCTATCATGGTATATGTTTACATAACATTGTTTGCATTATTATCCACAGTAGAAGCAGTATTCCCAAATTATAATCCCCGCATTGGGTGCCTTAGAAAAATACTTTCATCTGGAACTAAAGGCTGTTGAAATTCTTGGTTTCCCTACCAATGTGCCAATCTAGTTCCCAGGTTCTTTCCTCTTGTGCTCCACAAGAGGAAAGAGCCTGGGAACGAGGTTGCCAATGTGCATGGTTTCACGTTGAGTTTTAGGCAGCTTGAAATAATTCTAAGAGCAAAAAGATGCCGGAGAAGAAAACAGATGCCGGAGAAGTGGGACTTGAAGACGTCAAGTTTATTTTCCCCGGAGCGCTACACCAAAGATTAACATTAGTTCATCTAAGGCACCCAATGCGGGATTATACTTTGGGAATACTGCTTATAAAATGCAAATAATATTATGTAAACATATGCCATGATCTTTTGGTTGTGATAAACATTTTGGTCATGCATGTGAGTAAACACATGACGGGATAAGTGGCGCCTTAATCCTCGGCTTAAGTGGCGCTTTATAAAGTGCGCGGCTCAAAATCAGAAATACGGCTGATAAGTGGCGTGATATATCATTCAGAGCGCGGCTGGAAAAAAGAGCCTGAGATGGCCCTTCTGAGCCACTGTAAAGTTCCGAAATTTCCACACAAATGCACAGTAAAAACAAAATGTTCAACTGACACCGTAAATCGCGCTCTGAATGTCCAAACAATATGAAATGTTCGGCATAGAGTAATTCGAGCATGAACATTTCAATACTGGGGTCCATTTCTGCCAAATATGAAGATGAAATATCGATTGGTGGGCAGACATTATACTCGTGAACTGAACGGCTTTTGTTGATGTAGACTTTCGCAAAGTTCGTTTTCTTTTTTGAGGACTTAGGAGGGGGAGAGGGGAAGGGAGGGGAAGGAATTATGATGAAGAAGTAATAGAGAAGTCGACTTTCATTGATGTCGTAAAAAGCACTATTGTGCGACTGTAGTCTTACTGTAAAAAGTACAAAATCTTGAATGTGGCGTTACATACATATACAATTTATTAGTTATTCCAAGGCCAAGGGGGTTTTCATAACTAATTTACAATTGTGAAGAAATAAACTACAAACTGATTACATTATTTAATTACAATTTTGCTCTAATTGCATATATATTTAAAATTAAATGTATGTTTAATAAACTATAATGTGCATAAAATTAGTTCAGTATGTGCAAGTCTAAGAATCTTTCTAGTAATTGTTTCTTCTTCTCTACTGGACCCACGTAGTTTGAGTGCTGCATGGACAAATTATTGATGCCCTATAAACTAATGACTTTTAACCCGTTGTGGTTCTGAGTTTTGGGATGTGAATGTCTTTCGGTTGACTAGTGGTACACCCACTTCGAAGAGATCTTCTCACTTCTGCAGAAATTTTCACTGAAGGAAGTGGCGTGGCAATATCGTTGATGCGCTTAAACGCCATAACTGCATGCATCGCATATATCATGATATAAATTAAAGTTCCTTCGCCACCGGAAGCTTCTTCAATTCCTTCATACACGGGGTAATGTGATCATATTATAGTTGTATCAGTGAGCACAATATATGAAAATTTACTGACAAGTTAATCTTGTCAGGGTGTTCGAACCTGTCCGTATACTTAAAATTAAAATAATTATAGGCTACAGTCATTATATTTATTTATCAGGCAAATCTTTACGATTCCAACAAACGATAGATTTTCCAGACTTACAGGAAATTTAGCCCCTAGAGTTTATCATTTCTTATCTAACTTATCTTTCAAATTATTGATAAAGTACAAATATATCTACGCCGCCTGTTCATACAAAATTGTTGCTGTTGATTTGACTGACGTGAGGACGTATTTTAGTGCCATGTTATTGAGTGTTTCTCACTTTCTGTCCCAGTATTTTGTGGTCTGTGAATTCTTTGTGCCTTGCCACATTCTCTTCGGAAAATCAGCAGCAGAACAATGGCGTTTATGATTTCCAATGTCCTTAAAACAGTTTGCATGGCCCACCACGGCCAGGTATCTGAATATTTCTCACTTGTCAGACCGGTTATTACTTCACATATTCTTAGCACGAAAAACATCGCTGCCGTTACAGATAGAATCCCTAACAATACGCCAAGTTTTATCAACTTCGTTTCTTCATTTTTCATCGCAATGTTCAACCGTGCCTGTTCAAAGGTTGCCCGCGCATTTCTGCGAAGTTTACACGTCAGAAAACCAAACCCCGTGGAAATCAGAATACCCCAACAGGCAAACGCTAGTTGACAAACTGTCAACATGATTTTCCCATTATCTTTCGAAACAATTGTAATCGCATCTGAAGTTATAAAAAACACGAAGTTTGCAATGGTTATACTGCATACAACACGGCCTAAGTTTGTCTGACGGTGTATTGATGTTATTCGAGTCGAAATGGTTGTAATGTATAACAGAATTGCCAGAGAAGCGGTCAGGCTTGTTGTGCCTAAACCTGTTATCAAAACAGAGCCGAATATCCACCACATCGAAGTATTACCTTGGGACAAATACGGATCGACAAATAACAACACGAAGCGACAAACGGATAGAACGATGATTGCGCATAACATGATAGTTTTGATAAAGTATTTGTTGTGGTTTGAGCTTGATTTCAACACGAGAGCCAAGATGGTGGCGAAGCCCAGAATCATAAAGAGTACAGCAAATAAATATACGTGACCTGGCCAAAGCCAACCCAACGTGTTTTGTGCAGTGCCATCAAAATTTGGCTGCGGCTCAGGACTTACGGCCATCTATAAGTATAAGTGTCAAAATTAAAAAAGGTACATGGTGTATCGTATCGTAAAAATTATTTCAAGACGCTAGCTAGCCTTTATAGCCTCATCAACATGCATGCGTTGGTTTTCATGAGGGGCGTCGTCAATTTATATGCAAAGTATTTACAAGAAAATACGTAGAAACAAAGAAAAACTATTTACAAGAGTGCATGCTGAATACAGGAGGTGTCACCCCATACATTAACATTAGCAACAGAATCTAAGATTAGTATTTTGTTTGAAAATATGGATTGATCGTGCCTCTTTTGCTTCCCGAGAAAGGCTATTCCAAAGCTTTGCCCCGCTGTATTTAAAAGGTTTTTTTTAGGAATTCCCTTCTCGGTTTTGGGAAAGCTAAATCAGAATAGCTACCGGGTGGCCCAAAAAAAAGTACTCCTGTTTGATTCGTAATAACATCTAAACAAGTATAGCTTTTAAAGAGAAATAACTTGCATCAAATAGAGGAAGGACTAACTTAGACTTTGATATATTACAGTTGTATTTCACTTAAAAATTCACGGAGATATTAATCTTTAAATTCGGGAGGATATTTCTGGATGTGTCTGAAATATGCAAAATCGGCGTATCAAATATTAATCAAGATTTGCCCGACTGAAACATGCACTATTACCAGTAAATAAATGACACTTGACAAATTGTTTATTATGAAACAAAGTATTATTATATCTACAAAATACAAGCAAGATTCATTCGTCCGAAATTCGCGTGTGTTCCTAGCACGAATACGTTTCCTTATTTCATGAGACCGCTGCATCGCGAAGGATCGTCATTGGATCGTTCGTAGTTCTGAATTAGGGCATGCTGTCACAACGGAATTGTGAAGCTCTTCTAACTTCTGCAACGTTCTGAAATCTTGTTAAGAACACCCAAACTCTTTTGCCGTTTCTTAATCTTGGCAAGTTCATGGAGTAAACTGAGAATTATATGAAACACAATCAAACCATACAGCTCCATAAGACATAACAATTAAGCAACTCCCCAGAGACATGCAACATTTTTGGAACAAAACGTAACAAAATAGTAGCGTTGATACGGTGATGTGTATTTGCAAAAAGCAATATTATTTCCTTCAATAAAGAATATTCATCCTGCTCTAACCGAGAAATAATCTACTCAGTCTGTTTTAACCCATTAAAAACATAAAAAAATTAGGCTATTTAAGAATACGAAAAATTTAAGCGCCTGCCTTCCATGGTCAGTCTTTCATGTACATTTAAGTTTGCAAAGAACTAATATTAAATACTTGCATAATTTCGAACGTTCATATTTCAGGAAACAATGAGCTAAGACTTACATGTAAGATGTCTAAATCTACGCCATATCCCTTACAAACCTTAACGATAATTCGCTGAAATACAAGTTAGCCTAATATGTCATTAAACAAACAAACGCTGGAGTTAATATTTGATATGCCGATTTTCGCTAATTTTAGACACATTCCAAAATATGCTCCCCATTTTTAACATTAATATATCCGTGAATTTTTAAGTTAAATACAGCTGTAATATATCAAAATCTAAGTTAGTCCTTCCTCTATTTAATGCAAGTTATTTCTCTTTTAAAACTTTACTTGTT